TATTTTTGTTCTCTGCCAGGAAATAGTACAAAACAATACAGTTTGTGCCCATTAGATCCCGAAGACTTGCAAAAGCAAAACAAGAGGTATGGGGGGGGGGGGTCAAATCTCCTATTATTGCACTAAGATTTTTTTTTCTCCATTCTCCCCACCCACCCCCGCCCCAAGTTAAACTGCTGGACTCTTCTATGTGATAGGACTTTGTTTTCTTTGAGTTCAGTTTGATTGTATGAAGGAATATAGGAATGTGTAAATACTGTACTGTACAAGATAAGTCAATTTGAAAGGGTCTTCCTTCCAGGAATGGGAACTTAGTTTTTCTTTAGTTCTTAGAGTCCTATTTAAGGAGGGGATCCATCAGAATGCACTTTTTGTGAGGAATGTAGCTGTTACGCGGGGGTCAGTTGGCAGAATTAGCAAACACAGAGAAACACACATTTTCACTTGGCCACATTTGGCACTTACTATTTTAACTGGGCTACAGTAGTATGAGATACATTCATTGTATAGCAAATGACCTCAACGCTAGTATACTGTGTAGATACAGAGTTGGCTCCCTGACTCTACCCCACATGTTGCAGTCTGTATTGTGTTAACAAAAGTCTTATTAACTGGGCAGAATGCCATGACTGAGAATAGCTATTTATGTTTTAAAGAAATGAACTCAGTCAGCACAGATGAAGCAGAAATAATAGTTATTTTAGCCACAATCACAGTCTGAATCTTGCAACTGATCGGCAAGCAACTTTGAAGTGGGTCTGCAGATTCCATTCTGAGAAAGGCAGCTGAGGAAGATACTGTGATTCAGGAAGACTAGAAGAGTGACTGGGCACAAGAGATTGGCATCACCTTTGGACCATGGGACCCTCAGTTTGGGAAAAAACTGTCAGAGGAAGTATACTGGCTTCTTGGCTGTTCACTTTCAGGCACAAACAAAATATTATTATTTTTATTGTTAGAGAGCCAGTTTGGTGTACTGGTTAAGGTGTCACGCTGGAGACCATGAGTTCTAGTCCTGCCTCAGGCACAAAGCCAGCTGGGGGACCTCGGGCTAGTCACTCTCTCTCAGCCTAAGGAAGAAGGACATGGCAAGCCACTTCTGAAATCTTGCCAAGAAAAATGCAGGACTAGTCCAGGCAGTCACTAGGAGCCAACACTGACTTGAAGGCACCAAAACAACAACAAAATATTATTTCAGCAAGCATTTTCATAATATATCCCACCTTTCTGACAAAATATTGCTCAAGGTGACTAACAATAAATATTGTTTTAAAGATAGGGTCCAGTATCAGCGTTTCTCAATTGCATGCTCCCAGTATGTATTACATTACTTCCCCAAGCCCCATTTTGGATGGGAGAATATGGGACATCAATTTCCAAGGCTGCCACATATGTTGTTACATCAGTAGCTTTTTAATTAATTGCTGGTTTTAATTTCCCCTGCCTCCACAATTTTACTTTTATTGTAAATTGCCTTGATTATGTGGATTAGGTGAAATACTTTTTAATGTTGTGAGACTATCAAGATATGGTTCTGAGACTAGGTTATTCCCAAGGACTAGACTAATTTAATTTAGCCAAGATATTTCCCTAGATAGATTTTTTGTATCTCAATTTAAAAACAAGAATTACATACGCTTCATGGAAAATACTTGCAAAACAACTGAAGCATGGCAATGGATTTGTTCAGTAACAAAGCATGAGACAAAGACCCATGTCTGTTACAAAGTTTAAAATCACACTTGGATTCTAGGGCCAGACTAGATGTTACATAGTTGCATGGACATGGACAGGGTTCCCAAATTTATATGTATTTTAAAAATTAAATGGTGTGTTTGTAATAGAGATCAGGACTCTGGTGCCTAGGAACTCTTCCCTATTGTTCTTTGAATACTGAAATGCTGTCAAAATGGACTGCCGCAAGGAGAAAACAGATAGGTTATACTACGTTTTCTTCCCAAAAGTAAGAGGCTAAAGTGAGACAAGCATAATCTCCCTTTCTTCCAGTCAGGCAGGGGATCCTGATGCCATCATGCTATCTGGCCTGTTACTGCACATATACTTCAGAGAGAAATACAGAAAATGAAAATGATTCAGGAAGAGAAAAGAAAAAAAAAATCTCTGCCCTTTGTTATCCAGAGAGATAAATGTGCTGGCTGGGAAGAACTGTAGTTCAAGAAACATGATGGGCTGTGGGTTGAGGAAGGCTCATGTAAAACACATTACACACACACACACACACACACAGAGCGCAGAACCCTCAAACTCCCAGGCCTCTGGTAGAGGACCCGAGATTGAGGAAGACACGTACCACCCATAGGGATGAGAGGGGATTTTTTTAAAAAAAATTTATGAACTTGCTTTGCCATCATCTGAGGGTTTCTTTTATGCCTTGCTAGGCCCAGAGCGCAGAACCCTCAAACTCCCAGGCCTCTGGTAGAGGACCCGAGATTGAGGAAGACACGTACCACCCATAGGGATGAGAGGGGATTTTTTTAAAAAAAATTTATGAACTTGCTTTGCCATCATCTGAGGGTTTCTTTTATGCCTTGCTAGGCCCTGTTGCCTAAAAAGCTATAATTGGCTGAGATATGGAACCGGCCTTTCCTCCCTGGCTGCTCGCCTGTGGTTCTCCCTCGCCCCTCTCCCCCATAAATAAGCTTGGCAGGCCCCTTTCCCTATGGCTATTCAGGAAATGATTAAGACTTGGGAGTAGTCACAATTGATGTGACTTGAATCTCTTTCTGTTGACTGAATTATTCTTAATGATTCTCCACTTTGTTATTTTAATTGGTATTAGTATTGGTGCAAATGTAAGATGCCCCAGAATCTATTTAGGATGCAATATTTTTATAAAGACGCACAATATTTATTTTAATCTTCAGACTGAATAAATAATGTGCACTCGCTGGGTTAAAAATAATTTTAAAGGTTACAGTTTTGTAACTTACCACATTTTGTAATGTGGTCTAACATTACACGACTTCCTGCTGTAGGAATTAATCTAGGTTTTTCAGTGTTGCGCTGCTCTGGAAGCCTTTTATTTTTCTTTTAGACACTTTTGGTCACTGACATCAAACTCATTTCACTTTGGGAATTCCTGCTGCAGTTTAAAGTTTGGGGTCCTGCAGTGCACCATCTGTCCCATCCCACCCTGACCCCCACAATCAATTCATCCTGTTTGGAGAAAGAAACCCTCAAGTTCTGGAGTATTTCAACATGTCTAGAACTTCCCTCTCACATTCTCTTGTGCCAGGAAAATGCTCTATTACATTGTATGTTACATATCAGGAAACATCTGTGCTATAGGTCTCAACAGCTTAGTATCCTTTCATCGAATCAGAATCCCTCTCCAGGGGCAAATGGGTTATTTGTCCAGTAGAGGGGAATGGCCTGACTCCTATGAATGCAACAATGCAAACTCACTGATTGTATGGAGTGATTTTATGCTACCCAACTCCTCTTTTTTTCAAACGAGTATGTCTTATTTTGTCTTGCAAGTGATCAAGAGAAATCCAGTGTATGAAAAAGGCTTGCTTATCTGCCGTGCGCGTTAATGCACGTCGGACGCTTTTTGCCAGGAGGGCTGCGTGTCAGGACATCTTTCTCTCCCCACCTCCCGGATCAGTAAACCCGCCACTTTCTAAGCCTCTGACATGCCTGAAGGCGACGCCGGGGAAGTCTTTTTCCGTTGCTGCCGATTTCGCAAACTGCATTAATGCACCAGAGCTGGGTCCGGCCCCCCCGCTTTCGGCATCAGCAGCAGCAGCAGCGGCTGCAAAGAGACCTCAGCGATCGATCAGTTTCGCCCCGGCCTCCGCTCTCCCGGAGCAGCCGCCGCCCGCCCCCAGGTGGCACCGCCGGGAGCCTCGCGGGCTCGGCTCAACTTCCTGGCCTGACTTTTGACAGTGACAGCCTCCCTGCGAGCCCCACCCGGCCCAGAGAGAAGCTCTTCCTCCTCTCCAAACGAGCCTCTTCCTCTCCATCTCCGGCGCGT